TCCACATAATAACAAAACTATATATCGTTTTTCCGATTCCAAACGATGAAAACTTTTATCATTATTCAGATATGATTTCAGCTTTCTGAAATCAACTTTGATCTTACTAGGCATTTCCTGAGATGTCCGCTCTTCCTCCTGCCTGGCCAGGGCAGGTGAATAGCTATCACAATCAGGAATATCACCTTTCACTTACTTCGAAATTATCACGATCGGATTTCTACTGTATTAAACTATTCTTATTCTATTAGCAAGACAACATACTCCTTACACAATCAGATCAGAAATTTTTCAATCTAGGTTGGCATGTACACCTTTTATGACACTTTGGACTTCGGTTTATGCCAAGAATCGGCTAAACCTTAGCTCTGATACCATTAAATGTAATACCCCCAACCCGTACCCGACCCGGATACGAGTCCGACGTGTCACATTGACTTTTCAAATCTTGACTAAGAAAAATCCCGGGAAATTAAAACTTTATTTAAAACAAAATACAGACTTGATCAGAATGCTCGTACTTAATGACTTATTACATGCCAACACTTTATACATAACCAAATACATACTTTGTCAAATACTTCTGATCTGATCTTTTAGTAGTGATACTGTCTTTGCCACTTCTATTCTTTCACTTCTCGTTCTTGGTACCTACGTGTAAATCACTTACACGCTAAGTCATAGACTTAGTGAGGCATATAAAACATATAATATAACCATATATCATTTCATATAAATAAAAGACATACATATACAAACACTATCAATAATCCTTTCCACTTACCATATACTCATCATATAACACATATAATTCATGTATGTGCATTCATATCATTGAATCACTACATATCAATATGCATGAATCTATGGTATGATAACAATATACAATCAGGTCATGCACACATGCAACTTACTTCTTTTATCACTTTCACTTTCATTTGTCTTTCAATTTCATTGCCCATGTATATTATTGAGAATAGAGGTATGTGAGTACATTGAGGTTGTGCACTAATGTTGTCACCACAGCTCGTATAAATGTCCCGAAGGACCTATCCAGAGGTCACACAGACCCGGTAACTATCCAGAGGTCATAAAGAACCTCGGCAACTGTCCATAGGTCCCAAAGAACCTAGGTAAACTGTCCATATGTTCCTTAGAACATAGGTATACTGTCCATATGTCTCGAAAGACATAGGTAAACCCTCAACTCTTGGCATGCCAACTATACCTAGCTCTCGTATCATATATGGGCATTTATTTATACATTTCGTATCACTTGTTCTTCTCTTCTGTCACATATCACATGTATGTGTAACCATATATCTCATATCATATCACATGTATTATATATATACATGTATTCATGTAAATCATTTCATGTAATTCATATCGTATACATGTGCATATAAGCTTATAGCTTCTTTCACATATACATGTAGTCACATAGCTTTCTTTCATGTAACCATGCATGTCATGTCAAATAACAATATCATATGTTGCATTTTCACTTAAGCATATAAATCATATAACATAGCATCCATCTTCTATGTATTAATGCATACATGGTAATCACATAACAATTAGAAGTTACTTCTTACCATAGTAACTCCATCACTGGCTCATCACAAGCCAATGTTAATTCAATAAAATAAGTACAAAATAAATTGCACTCACCTGGGCCTCGTTGTTGAATCAATCCTAATCCTTAGTTTGTTCCGGAACAAGCTTTCATTCTATATCTACATAATAATACATTAATACTTATCAGTGTACTGATTGATATATTCGAAACTATCACTCCTTAGTCTCAAAGAAAAGCCAATTTCATCTTTTAATGAAGGTATGCATCGATGCACTACACCATGCATCGATGCATAAATCCTATTCGATTTGTATTTAATGGGGATCGATGCACTATGCATCGGTGCATAAATCATATTCGATGTTTTCTATTTAAATTCATGCATCGATGCACTGCATGTGCATCGATGCATCTTAAACAATTCTGGTATTATCATCGATGCATCGGTGCACAATGAATGTGCATCGATGCACATTGCCCAGAACTGACATTTTAGCACAAATCATCAACTCTTCCCTTAATTCTTCTATTTTAAGCCCCTCTTATTACATTAAACTTAACTACTATAACTTGAACCAACTTATATCCATGTAAATCATCTTTAACCTCAAAATCCTATCTTCCTTATGAGATTCAAGAATCATACCAAATTTTCTATATGATCTACATACAATTCTATCACTCCAAATCTCTTAATTTAACCATTGACAAGTCAAATTTAACTTCCAATCTAAGAAATGAACTTTATTCCAAGATTTCATTTGTAAACTCTAAATCTTTAATCTCTCCTAACTCCACCATCCTTTGCTTTTAAGATGATTTAAGCTTTCCTTAAGCTTAGTTATCATCTAATAATTAAAACCCAACCTTAAAATCAACAATTCAATTATAAACAAAGAAACTTACCTTTGGCTCTTGTCTTCCACGTGAAGAAGAAGAAGAAGAAAGGAGAAGAGAACTCTGGAGAATTCTCTCCCTTTCCACGTGCCTTTATCCTACCAATCCCATTTTTTTATTCATTTCTTGGTCAATTGACCCTTTTGCCCTTTATTTCCTTTACTAATTACTAAATAACATTCATCATATATATCCAATAATCATTGAACTATTTTATTCTTATACTTTAGTCACCAAATTCTGAAACTTTACAATTTGGTCACTAACCCGGTATTGCGGATGTTACAAAGGGGCTATGATAGTACATGCCCATTATAATACTCGAGACGTACTCTGATGGGTGATCAAGCCTGAAAATCCTGAATCTGACGACAAACTCCTCAATTGGCACCTAAGGATCTGCACATGAAAACACATTCCATGCGCTGAGCTCACAAGCTTAGTGCCACATAAATAACCTGACTATACTACATGTATTCAACACATAAGCATGAGACAAGTATGGTTATGAACATTTGATTACATTCACGCAATAACAAAAGTAAGCATCATGGTGTAGCATCGGGGTCACTTAGCATCTCGAAAACCATACCCCTATTTTCTTACTACAACACCCTTAGGTTAGATCTGAGTCACATAGCACCAACATCTCCCTATTACCTCAAGCTAGGTCCGGATCACATAGCATCAGTACATTGATCGACTAGACTACTCATCTAGAGTACTAGGGACGTGTGTGGGTCATATAGCATCGACACAACATCCAAGTACCATTTAAAGTGCACAAGAACTAAAGTGGATATATTTGGATAATCCTTATTCTATCACACAATCCTCATACAAGTGACTCGGGTGTCTTCATCATTTCTCGAGCATCAAACAAAGGCATAAGTTTTATTACTTTGTTAAGATCATATGTTATCAAACAATTCATTAAAATTTTCATTTCTAAGTTTATTAGAAAGTTTCCTTCACCAAACACCTTGGTTTCAACTTTCTAATCCAAGCTAGGCTTATAGCCTAAAAATTCACAATGGTACCAATATTATTTCTTGGGGTATCAGTACTTCCCTCATATGGTATCGATATTACCCGAGTCTTGGTACTAAAATTGGATTCGATGTTTTAAAAAATAACGTAGTATCGACATCCCTATTGGGAATATCGATACTCTACCCTTGATATCGGTACTCTTATGAGTACCGATACCAAAATGACCTATTGGAATATGATCAAGTCCCCGAGTATCGATATTAGGCTATGAGTATCGATACTACCTGAGTAGTATCGATACCTCTTAGGGTGATAGTAATATTATCCTCACAAACCCTTCGATTTTTTCCCATTCACAACGAGTAGTATCAGTACTATTCATACAATATCGATACTCTCTGCCCAGAAAACTCTATTTCTCTCATCGAAAACTTCCCAAACCCCTAGGTATCCCCAAAACCCCTAAATGGTCTTTAAAGCTTATTTAGAGTTTAAGGGGATGAAAGGTCATTACTTTATGCATAAATAATAACTTCTTATTCTCATGCTTTGAACCCCGAAATACATCCAAATGAATCACAAACTCTTACAAGCATCAAAACTACACATGTTGATCTACAAGTAGTAAGGAAAGGTTAAGAATGTGTTACCTTACACCTAGGAGTTGTTGGAATAACCTCAAGCTCACCCAAGGACCTCTTTCTCTTTGCCCTTCTTCTTGAGCTCTCACATACTTCTCTCACTAGATCAATTAAATGTTTTAGCTATTAGATCGTATAAAAGGCTTAAGAGAGTTAAAAACATGACTCTAAACATCAAAAGGAACTAGAATCTTCATAGGGTTTCCAAACTATAAACCCTCACTAAACCTCTTTCATGGACAAAGCTCTAAAAGAGAAGCTTGACTGGAAGCTTAGAAGATGATGATTCTATTTCTCACCTTCACTAATCCGGAATGGTAATAATGATTAATAAATCTTCACCTTTGTTTAGCCACAAGAAGGAGAATGGAAGAAGTTTGAATTGTGAGAAGAAGACGAAGGATGGAGGAAAAAGAGATGAGAGTTATGCGTGGATAACTTCATACCAATTAAGGATTTTCAGCTTTTGAAATAAGGGGTTAAATTGTTGTTTTGGTCATTTTAGTTTAACCTCACAACAAAAATACTCTCTTTAGACCATCGTGGGTTTTAACCAATCTCAATCCACTTTATAATTGTGTAAAGGCTTCTCACATGCCAACGGGTTTATAAATCTCTCTCTTGGGTTAACTCAAATTTACTAACCTTGAAATCGGAGTGTTATAACTCTCCCTGAAAATTTTATCCTCGAATTATACTTTAATAGAATAGATGCAGATACTGAAGTTGCATATATTCTTTGATCTCTCAAGTTACTTCTTCGGTCCCATGGTTCCTCCGCAAGACCTTCACTAACGAAATTTTTTGTCAAAATAGACTTTCTATCATAAAGAAGTGAGAGTTTGGGTCGGTATAGAAAACAGATCCCGGTTAAGCCCCAGTAAGTTACAAAAATTTCTTTACTTAATCCGAACGATAATAGAAAACCAGGAAACGAAAGCAGTGAGCGGCAGCTTCTCTTCCTCTGTATCTCAAAATGGTTCCTTTTAGGGTAAGTTGAAAAATTATATTTTTTTTCTTTACGGGATTTTTTTGGCTAAAATGGTGATGAGATTATGGGTTTTCCTTTTTGTTTTGTTTGGAAAAAAAAAGTTTCATCAGTACCAAGTGGTGGGCAGAGGTCTCCCAACAGAAACAGATGAGCATCCCAAGATTTACCGTATGAAGCTTTGGGCCACCAACGAAGTTTATGGGCGATTGGGAATCTTAGTTTTCCTTTGCTTGATGTTTTTTTTTTCGTGTTTAGGTATTTTCTGAGGAAGGTGAAGAAAAGTAATGGACAAGTTTTGGCCATCAATGAGTTATAGTTTTTTTTTAATGGTTTGATGAGTTTAATATAAATTTGGTGATAATGATGAATTACAATTTACAACATTTGCAATGTCTAGTGAGTATGAATGCTGAACTTGCATTTTATGTTTTTTTTGTTGAATTTTTTTTTATCCTTATCCAAATATGGGTATAAGAGATGATCCTTAAATGGCAATTCTAAAATATTAGAATATTTTTAAATGAATATATTATGTTGGGTATGATTATGCTTTTATTAGTGTGGGGTTATTATAAGATTGAATCCGATGAAAGATTGTTAACAATTTGATATAAAACGTTCAAACATTTTTATACATATTGAGATAACAATTATTCTAATCATTGAGATCATTTGAATAGCAGGATATTATCAGTTGAGGTTACTTGATTTTTGTTAGACATGATAATTTGATTGCTTGATATGGAGCCCAAAGAGCCTTGCGTAGCAACCTGGCTGGAAACAAAGCCTATCCAAATAAGCAGCGACGTAACCCAAACCCCACTCGAGTGCAAATCGAAGCCCAACCAAGGAAGTTCTATCAAAATTACCCAAAAATGCAGGTAACTACCTTAACCAACACGTTGGTTAGATAACCGGTTCGTTTGAGATATTTTCTTGGGCAGCTTTCGAAGACATGGTATCACCCCTGAGAGTAACCCAAATGATCGGCAGTATGGCATATCATTCTCTTGCTCTTAGACCTGTCATTGTTTAACCCATGACACTAGAAAGAGAAACAGTAAAAGAGTGGAGGAGACGGAGACGTGAAGAACAAAGAGAAAGGAAAAGAAGAGTTGAAAGAGGGAAACAGAGGATGATGCAAGTGAAGGTAGGTAGGTGGAGGTGGAAAGAGGAAGGCAGCAACCGTACCAAAGGGCGGCACAGCTGATGATTAGAGAAAAAGGCAAGTTTAGGGATCAAGATTAATAATAGATTGCGTTTTGTTTGCTCGGGAAAAACATTTCGCTTCAAACGTTCAAATAGTTGTAAGCGATGGAGCACCCAAAACTCTTATGCATACATACTTTACATAGGAGATGGTTTGATGTCAACTCTTCACTACACCCTTAAGTGGGGTTACGAGTGCGACAAGATATCTCTCCTAGACGATAAAATCAAGTCCTAAGTGCAACACATATAGGCAGCATGAACACGAGAACCATTTGGGGCCAACTAGTCTTTTCACCTCTAGGCAATATAAACACCGGGGCAGCCTTGAATCCAACTCCAATAGTTCAATAACATTGAAGGCCGACGCAATCTCATTGGCAAAGAGAGACTACTTGCACAAAGGAAACACTAAAATTTATTGTCTTTTACACTCAAAACCTGCAATCTCCAATTCTCTTCATAAATATGCGCACAACACTACCCTTCGCCTTATAAAAAAAACAAACAAAAGAATATACACAACAATACCTGAAACTTCAAAATCATTTGCATTAATAATAATGGCAACATTAATATCAGATTTTTGAAGACTATGAAACGCTTGGGAAAGACAATCGATCCCGAAGTGTGTCAAAAAGTGAGGAAGCTGCCGCATTTTGTTGAAATGTTAGTTTCAACCTCCCTAGCAATTCACCATCTTTGGCTTGAGATGCTGCATCAGCAGCTTCTTTTGGCCATGCCAATCCGAGCATATGCCTGTCAGAACCATAGATGAATCTTGACCAAGTGCAATAAATGATAAAATCTTATTAAACCTATTCTAACAAGAAATTCTACCACTTGCATCTACTAGTTTAGCGATTCAAGCAGAAAAATGAAAACTAATGATTCCCATTGAAAGAGGTGCAATTCATCAATCAAATTAGACATGCATTGTTACCTCAGCCCTTTCTCGGAGATCAGCAAGTTTTGGGAATATATTTCAGAGCTTCACCTTTCTCATCAGCATCAACGCAGGCCTCAACAAATGGCCTGTAACCTGTTTGGTGCGCAAAGAAAAAAAGAAGAGAAATACTGTTAAAAAGAAGAAAGCTAACATGCCAAGCAGAAAAATGGGAGAAGAGACGCTCATTGTGGTGAAAAACCTAATTCAGTTCGTGTAATCAGACAAAACCAGCATATATTACAGCATGATCTATTTTTGGATACAAACTCTTTTGAAACAAAAAAGCTCAAAGAGAGACTAGCATTTCACATATGCATTAACTGATACACAAAAATACTTGTATGTTTACTTAAAAAAATACAATTTACGCTGACCTAGTTTAAAAAACAACCTAAAACTTGTCTTTCTAAAAAAAGCAAGTTAAATTATAATGTAAACCCTAAAAAACAACCTAAAACTTTTCCCATTTTCTTTTCTTTTTTTTTCCTTTGCCTAATTCTTTTGTCCCAACCAAACGACCATAAGGATACAAAAAAAAGGGATGAACGTAAACCTAAAGAAAATCCAACCCACACCACTTCAAGACTTCAACTATTGATGTTCATTTAGAACCTAAGCTTTGGTAATTATCATCAAGAAAGAAAGATTTTCGGAAACAACAGAATTATATATCTTTCATAATAGCACGTGGCTGAGATCACTTGTAGATAATGTTTGATTATGTAATCTCTCAGTACTGTAATTGAAACAAAAATGTTGATAGCTTACCAATTGGTGGTCTCTTCTCTTTTGAAAACTTCTCGAGAGCTTCCCAATCTCTAATTGTAGCCAAAGCAAAAACTTTAAGCCAATACCATCTCTTCTCAGAAACCTGAGACAAGCAAAGATGCAAAAAAGAAAAGTTATTAATAGGTAATTAGAGCAATCTGAAAGCAAGCCAAAACTCAGAGAAACTGACAAATTGATAAAGTACAGGGCAGACTTTTGGTGTGGCCAAATAGAAAGTAAAGGCAGTTTATGAACCTTGAACTCATTCTTCACTTTCATTGCAGCTCGATGATTCCCTAGAACAATACATGTACGTATAGTATCACTGATACTTGAATCAACAAATATGGCCTGCTTTGTACTTACTTCCAACTCATGCTGTATTCTGCAACATTCAGAAGTATTTGAAAAAGTACATAAATCAGTACTGTATTAGCAGGCAACTCAAGATATAATATATTTGATTATAATGGTTGGAAACTAGGACGGACAGTAGACAAACTATAATCTCCTATCATGTCATAAAATTTATTGTTCTAATATAGTCTATGTTTTGCTTTTGGAAAATGAAGACTCCATCTCTAGGTTCTATTATAATCCTACTTGTCCAGTATTGGATTTTTTTTTTGTGTGGGTGGGCGGGGGAGAGGGGTCGGAGGCCGAATTTAAACTTATGTAAGATGTATCATCACTTCATTCTTCCCCTCATATTAAGCATAATATGCCAACAGACATGTATGAATCTATCAAGCAGATTCTGGAAGTGGGAAACAAATAGTTTGAGTTCTTACCCATCTTAAGAATCATATTAAACACCAGTTGGCAGTAGACAACAGGCTTATTTTTAAGAGAAAAACCAAGGACAAACCCCCCAATTCGTCAAAAAAAATTCAGTAACGGTTCAGTAGCTTTTCTTTAATAATATGATATTAAGCATCCAACATAAAACTAAATTAGTATCAAGCAGAGATGACCAACTTCAAAAGTTTAGACAACACAACTATGGCACTTGGACTGACTTTAGGCACTCCAATTGCAATTTAGTTTGAAATTTGTGACTTGACAAACAAAAACAAGAAGTGATCCCCTCACCTCAACAAACTTTGCATGCCTCAGCAGCCTTGGATTCGAAGGTATGTTCCTTGGTTTCAGCGAAAAGATTCTGTGCCTTGTCAATTAGTTTTATGCGGGGACCATGAAGTGGGGATCCTTTGCTTGCCATTGGATTTTTTCCTAGTTCCCATGATTCTTTCCACAAAAGAAATGCAACTTCCTACAATACAGCAAACCTCACATAAAACAAAATAGACAATCATTTATCACACTTCCAACCAACTATTTACTCGCAACTTGGTGGGTCCTTGATGCAGATTTAAGCTTTGACCAGTATAAGGTTAAAGATGAACAAACATTCAACTTATAAAAGAAAGATTGACTGAACGAGCAAGAAAGAGAGCAAGCGATCCTTTTACTTCGCCAGCCATTTATGAATTTGCAAGAAATGCCTAAAGCATCTAACTTCCCATCTCTTACCTACTATTCTGATGGCAAGAAATGCCCGAGGCATCTTCAATGCTTAATATTAGATATTTAATTATTCATTCATTCAACATATCACGAACCAAGTGACCTCAGTATTTACCCAGATTAATAAAAAAAAAGAAAACATAGCACTCCATTTTGGCAGTTAAATCTTTTTTGATATCCATTTGTTAATAATAGAAGTTCAAACACGTAATTTGATAAAACTAGAGGTTCGTAACTTATATGAAATCGATGCTAAATTGACCAATAGTGTAAATTACCTAAGAATTAGCAAGAAATAGGAATAACAATAATGATTTAAACACCAAAAATAATAGAATGATTCAGCAATATAGCACCCAAAAGTTGAACCTTACTTGGAGTTGTCCGGTAGATAGAAAGAAATCTTTCAAAAATTCATGCTTATAGCACCTGAAACACAAAACATCATGAATAGTTAACAATAAACACTGACCCATACACACCTAATTTGTTTTTGAAAAGATGGTATCCTTGATGATAAAAGCTTCGTTTTGACCACCATTGACAGACAAATGACCAAGATTAATAGCTCAATGGCCGCAAAAACCAGAGCAAACACCTATTCAAGGAAATACATATAAATAATATTCATTACTTAATACTAAAGAAGTGTAACAAACATCTAAGCAGTGTGTGAGGTCATTCATTTGTATTATCTCTTCAGCCTCTCAGATTTAATATATCATGTCTAACTAGATCATAATTACATGTAACTTTTAATAATTTTAATTTGGACATTTATTTGTAAGCTCATGTGCTTAGAAAATATCAAAAATAGAATATTTAATAATGAGTTATAATAATTCCTTT